ATATATATATATATATATATATATATATATATATATATATATATATATATATATATATATATATATATATATATATATATATATATATATATATATATATATATATATATATATATATATATATATATATATATATATATATATATATATATATATATATATATATATATATATATATATATATATATATATATATATATATATATATATATATTCTCACGTATTGATTCACGGATGGAAAAATGTGATGACACTATATTCCGGGATATCATCCGTTCGCTCGTTGAACTCCGACTGGAATCCTGCATCCGACTGGAATCCTGCAAATCCTGCATCCGACTGGAATCCTGCAGACGTTTCGCCAAAATCTCACTTGGCATCTTCAATGCTCGCGCTCCAAAAACACTTCGAACACTGGGTGTTTTCGGAGCGCGAGCATTGAAAACACTTCGAGCACTGGGTGTTTTCACATTTTTCCATCCGTGAATCAATACGTGAGAATATATATATATATATATATATATATATATATATATATATATATATATATATATATATTCTCACGTATTGATTCACGGATGGAAAAATGTGATGACACTATATTCCGGGATATCATCCGTTCGCTCGTTGAACTCCGACTGGAATCCTGCATCCGACTGGAATCCTGCAAATCTTGCATCCGACTGGAATCCTGCAGACGTTTCGCCAAAATCTCACTTGGCATCTTCAATGCTCGCGCTCCGAGTGTTCGAAGTGTTTTCGGAGCGCGAGCATTGAAGATGCCAAGTGAGATTTTGGCGAAACGTCTGCAGGATTCCAGTCGGATGCAAGATTTGCAGGATTCCAGTCGGATGCAGGATTCCAGTCGGAGTTCAACGAGCGAACGGATGATATCCCGGAATATAGTGTCATCATATATATATATATATATATATATTTTCTTATAGTCGTTTGTTTATTTTCGAAAAATAAATAGGAGAGCAAAGCTATCCGTCGCTTATTATAGATAGCTTTGTCCTTATAATATACTTTTACTTTTATGCCGCTCACTATTCATCTCTTTGTTTCCAAACATTACAATCGTTTATATGATAATGTAATAGAATACGACTTAGATAACTTGTTTTTTGTTTTATATGTTAGACGTCGTAAAATAAAAATAACGAACATTTGTATTTTCAGCATTTCATATAGTGTCTTCAATAAAGTCTGCGTCACATGGCACCAATTGTTTTACTAAATTTCCTATAAAAAAATATTAAAACATTAAGGTTGTGTTTGTCTTTCAGTTTTCTACGAAACAGTCATACAAACTTTTTTAGATTTTATGAAGTGTTTTCTTTAAATTTTTCTTAAACACTCGATTTGAAAGAAAATAAGAATGATAACGTTTTAAAACTAAATAAAATTTAGTTGAGTTTCTTACAATTCAAAGAGGTAACTTAATTTAACTTTTTTGTATTGTGTTTTTAAGTCAGTTTATTCATTTCATTATAAATTTGCTAAAACCCATTAATATAATATGTTCTCATTTTAGTATTGACTATAGCATCGGACAACCTGTATAATAATGCATACATATGTGAATTCTATAATAAAATGTAGGGAGGCATGTCATCCGAGATTATAGCCGGACAGTTTCACAATTAGTGTGGGAGGCGGGAACGTAGACATATCAATTTACAAGATTGCGTCGCCATGTTGTTAGTTTTTTTTTGTAAGCACGTGCCAACACTTACGCACATCGGTCGATAAGAAGGCTCTCAATTAGTGAAAATAATTGGTTTGGATAAATTTAAATTTGTTGGAAAGGTTTATCATCATGCCATGTACGTCCACCTATACCAACGGCTTGTCGTCATCGGCACACCTCCACGTGAATAGCAATAATGTTTATAAGTAATGCTTTGGAAAATTTTATGAAGATGAATATTACGAAAGTTTATTGAATGGAAAATGGGTTAGTTGGTTGGGAACTTCGTTGAAACGGATTGTATATTTCACGTCGGTATTTCCAGATTGACGAATTGTCCCATTGGTCCGTTCTAATGGGATGAGTCAATCGCAATACTTTACTTGCGAAAGTCGACTTCATTTAATGGCCACTAAATCGCGATTAACTAATCGCCTTTATCGTCGGTGGCAATTGTAAAAAAGACGACCTAATTCAACCCAAAGTTCAAATGTATAAACAAACATTTTTTGCACAGCCAACTTAAAATATATACAGGTTGGCATTATAGTGTGGGCCTTATTTATCGCTATTGTGATAAAATTTCGTAATAAAAAATTAAAGAAAATATATTAACTAGTAGCATTAACAACTAATTATATTGTATAGAAATATTTTAAGTTTGTTTATTATTCTATTGGGTTGTTCGGAAAGTCATTTCGTTTTTTTTGGGGAACATGAAAGACAGTTTTCGTATAATGAATAAATATTTTATTAAATTATATATTGGCCATTCTGGTCCAACACCTTTTGCCATCTTTCTGGCAGTAACATAATTCCCCTCTCATAAAAGTTTTGGTCCTTGCTGGCAAAAAACTCGTTCAGGTGGTTTTTGACATCTTCATTTGAGATAAAGGTTTTGCCATCCAAAAAATTTTGCAGGGACCGGAACAAATAGTAGTCGGAAAGCGCCAGATCTGGAGAATATGGTGGATGTTGCAGTACGTCCCATTCAAGCTGTAAAAGTTTTTGGCGAGTGACCAAACTTGTGTGAGGTCTCGCATTATCCTGGTGGAACACTACACCCTTCCTGTTGATTAATTCGGGCCTCTTCTCTTTAAGCGAATCATTCAATTTGTCCAGTTGATGTCAATAGACTTCTGAATTAATCGTTGTATTGTCCGGCAAAAGCTCCAAAAAAACGATTCCTTTGACATCCCACCAAACGGAGAACATCACCTTTTTTTGGTGAATGTTGGCTTTTGACACGCTTTGAGCCGGTTCATCTTTTCTGCTCCATGACCTCTTGCGTTTAACATTGTTGTATACAACCCATTTTCGCCCCCAGTAATAATTCGCTTCAAAAATGGATCATTTTCTTGACGTTTGAGGAGCGAATCACACACGTCAACGCGACGACACAAATTTCGCTCCGTAAGGACACGGGGCAGCCACACATCGAGCTTCGAGGTTAAGCCCATGCCTTTCAAATGGCCATAAACAGTCGAATTCGACAAATTTAATCTCTCACCGATCTCTCGTGTGGTTATTCGCCGATTTGCATCAACTAATGCCTTTATCGCATCTTTGTCAGCTTCGACCGGCCTTCCAGACCGTGGTGCATCTTCGACATCAAAATTGCCGGATCGAAATTTTGCAAACCAGTTCTGGCACTGGCGTACTGTTAACACGCCTTCTCCATACACATCCGTCAATTTTTTTCTCGCTTGGACAGCATTTTTACCTTTTCTGAAGTAAAAAAGTAAAATATGACGAAAATGCTGCTTATTGCTCTCCATATTTAAAAGGGCACCAACCAAAAACTACTGCGTAGAATTAATAGAACTTTTTCACACACAAGCCTTGCAATATCAGCTCTCAAGACATATAATGGTTACGCGGCTTAAGTGTGAAGTTGGTTTCGAAAAAACGTAATTAAGTCCGCTGACGGGAATAAACGAAATGACTTTCCGAACAACCTTATAAGATCTATCTTTACTTGTTCTCCAGCAATTAACGAATATAGCTTAAAATTTTGACAAATAACAGTCCATTTGGTTTATCAAATCAATCAAATCGTTTGTGTAAATTTGAAATATAAATGTCTCTTTCAAATATCTTGTATTTTTTTCTCACGAAATTCAAAAATCTATTACGCTGTCATATAAACATTTCTCGTAGGGAGAAAAATATATATTTTGCCACGGTTTTATAACCGAGATTATATTATGTTTTCATTGTATATTATTAACGTTTTTCCTATCAAAACATGATTTTCAAAATAATAGTATATAATCATAATTTTTGGTTAGCTCTGATTAGTTCGACATGTGATGACATGTGTATGTTGTTTATCCATTTTTTCGTTGGGGTTTTTGTTACTTTCGGCTGATGATGTTGATACACTTATCGTCTTTCATAGTGATGTACGAAAAAAGGAAGAAAATCGCAAAGAAATGATGGACGCCACTGTGTGATCGTGGCTATTTCTTATAGAGTTATGTATCTTGCGGGCCGTTTAAAAGGAACCAAATTTCAGCGTTCTAGAAGTTATTCGCGTTTATTGGAAACGTCGACAGAGAACAGAGAACGGACAAACAGATGAAAATAAGAAAACAAAATTTTTCGACGCTGATCATTTCTGTACCAATGGGGGTTCCCTAGGACCAACCGCCTCCGAGATATGAGTTTCGTTGCCAAGCGCGCATAATTTCGAAAAATTCGTATTTTTTCCAAAAACAATTGAATGTATGGTTTGGGAAGAAATAAAGAAAATGTGCTCTTTTTAAATGAGTATTTTTTACTCTAACATTGGTAAATCACTTACATCGAGATGCCGACGTCTTCAGCCACTTCTCTAATAGTGACGATTTTTCAATACCATTCGTTTCACCTCTTCAGAGCGGCCATCTTGGAACAGCTCGTACCACTTATAAATATTTTTTTCTGCTCAAAATAGACTCACCAAATGCAGTTGTCAACCTTTCAAATGTTTTACTTTACTATATTCCATTTTTTACACAAAATTTCATGCAAATTCTTTGTTCCTTTTTTTTTGACAGCAGAATATCGCCGAGCACACAAAATATGTCTAACGCTTATGTTTCACAAAAAAAGAGCCAACTGGTTGAATCTGTAAATGCATGTTAGGGACATGTGTACCACCGTGACAACTAAAAGATCGAATGTACGTAATCCGCCCAATTACAAAAGTAACCTTACCTACACCTCGTATATATCGTCTTGGTTTTTGACAGAACTTCCCTTAATTGGGACCAATGCGTGGCCGTACTTGACGTCGACTTAATTCTCTACAAATTTGTTTTAGGTGGAGATGGAACTTACCATTTCAAACTGCTCGTGCCCAGCGTTGCCGCCGGCGCGATTATCGGCAAGGGGGGCGAGACGATCGCTCAATTGCAGAAAGACACCGGCGCGCGAGTCAAAATGTCAAAATCCCACGACTTTTACCCGGGTAAGTTGTCCCCCCCCCAGCCTCCGCCCCAACCCATTTGCTTATTGGTACAAACGAGAGTCGATTAATCTTAGCCATTTCGGGGTCACGAGGGGCTCTTAAGTACGATGATCGAGGAATATTTTATCGAAAACCGCGATACGTCTTCCCGATGATCAAATAATTGAGGTCGCAACAAATATACGCCATGTATACGTATTTATTGATTTCGCATTAGGGGAAATGTGCGAAAACAAAAATTCTAACACCGCATTGTGCCGATTATGTCAAATGGGGTATATATTGAATTACACACAGGTCAAGAAAGATTTTGCCATTTTGGTATTTTTTATTTTTTTGGAGTTACGGGAACTAAACTAATCGAAAAATAGTGTTTTTTTTTGTTTCTATCGTGCAATTGAATTGATTTTTAAGGTTCCATAGTTATTGTTTTAATAATAGGAACGTTACATAATAATTTGCATAAATTAGCAGAGATTCCTAAATATGTAATCGCGTCAGTTATAATACGACCAAAAATATAGTGCATTTATTGCTTTGACGTTTTAAGTATTTTACAGTATCTTAACCCCAGACCATCGCAGGACTTTGGTAAAACCCATCCTAACAGATGTTGTTTATGTTATTATGTCATTCTTCTTCTTGTATTTTTGTGTCTTCTACATAGTTCTTCGATTTTTAAACAGCAACAGTCTTTTTTAAGAGTACATGTTATAATCGCGGTAGATAAAGGTACGTCATAAGAATACAGATAAACATTTGCTAGAATCTTACAATTAAACATTTTTTTAAGGTTCCTGTTTTTTAACACTTTAAAATATGGAGACCGTAGAATGAAACAAATATAAGAAGAACAGAATTTCAAGACGAAGACGAACCTAATGAGCTAAAATATCAGTACAAAGCTGGTCTAACTGTGAAAAACCAGTAATAAAAGAAGAAAATATTTACCGTGAACGATTAGTTGCTGAGTTGAATTAGGCAACAACAGTAGCGATAGTGACCATTTTTTAAGTGACTGATAGTTTATTATTATTATACTTAATATTTCGTATATTAATAATGATACTATATAGAAATGTAATGAAATAGAACGTAATAAGTTGTTACTTTTTACTATGCAAATTTAATCATGGGGTCGGTTGTAAAAGCACTATATTTCTGGTCGAAGTATAGTGGCGGCATGTCTTGAAGAAAGCCCGTTTGTTGTGTAATTGCTTTTGTGGTGGGCAGTCGTTTCGTGCATTGTGCAGTTAAATTTCTTTCTTAAATATTCCAGATACGTTTTGCTATGTATGTGGGAAATTTAGACGTAACTCTCATCTGAAGCCCACAATACAATGTCAACATCAACGAAGTCACTGAAATTCTTTTGAATAATCGGATTGATGTTCTTTTGATCGTTTTCAAATTTTGTAACCGTAGAGTTTATATCATATCGATTTTTTGCAGCTTTGACTACCTTCTTTTTTATATCGAGTAGAACAGTATCACCAAACAGTGATAAATTATCAATCAAATTGACTTAATAATCTATTGGTGATAAGTTATGGTTATTTATATATGAGACTAAATCGTTTACAATTTGATGACGTATGGTCAATACATTTTTGAGTGTAGCCATTATGAAGCAAATCCTTTTTAATACTGCTTAATTCTACATCGAGTGATGCTTCGTCACCGCATATTGTGATTGCTCTTTTGCAGAGTGTTTGGATGATGATTCCTCGTTTGGTGTCTTCAGAATGGTGAGAACCGAAATTTAAATAGTGACCGGTCTTGGTTGATTAGTTTTGGTTAGTCCATAAAATGTGATGGTTTAGTATGATCTCTAGCAGTGCTGGATATTGCTATTGCTATTGCTATTAGCAAGTGATTTTGCGGTCGTATTCCTTCACATCCTCTGATATGCAAGTCTTTGATGGCTGCGCGTTCCTCTTTGTTCGTATTCTTCGTCCATTTTTTTCTCTTCGCCAAGATAGTTCCAATTTTCCATCGCAGTTCATCTATTCCCGGCCCTTACAGTTGTAACGTCTCACTGGAGCTCATAATATCTAACAATGGAGTCCTTCGCTTTGTTGTTGAATATTGAGCGAAAAGTTCGACAATCCCGTAGTCTGATGATGATAATGTTTTAGATTATTAAAACACCACAGACGGATGTGTACGATTTCTGGGAAGTCTGCAAAAATAATTATTCTCTCATTGCAGCTGCGAAATTAGTAAACTTTTAACGAACCGATTTGCCAACACGCATTTTAAGAGAATGTAAATATTTATACGCTGCGAGTTCGTTGGCGAAAATAATCTTATTTCGAAGGCAAGAACTTTTGCTCGTTATTTGTTACTGTTTCGTTGATAGAATAATAAATAATAATTTTACACAACGTGAATCGAAAAAATTGGGCAACCCCGTTAATGGCGGATTTTTTGCGTGACTTATGTTTAAAAATTTCATTTTTATCCATGAATGACGCGGTTTTTTGATATTTTTTTGAAACTCAGTAATTAAAGCCTAAACCATTTTAATTATTTCCCGCATGATATTAAAAACTGTAATACTCTTAATAAATGTAAAATACTTTTAAGACGCCATGCATTGTCCAAATTCTGATTTCCGCGTGCTTAGCTTTTGGTTTACGTTTATCTGGAATTTTGTATTTTATATTTAGAATTTATATTTTGTATTTTTTATGTAGGATAATGCTAAATAAAGATTATATACTATACTATTTTTGGGGCCATTTTTACGAACATACGTCCTAAACGGCGTAACTTTTCAGATGCAGTGTGGTAAAGTTTTCAGAAATTAAATATATCTTTTTTAATAACTGTAATATCACTTTAGATATTTTAATGAAATTTGGCACACATATACTACGTATAAAGAGGCATTATTTAGTGTACCACAGCTTTTTTTAAAATACACTCTTAAAATAAAAATAGAAAAATACACCTCATACAATTGACAACAATTGACAACAGACAAATTTTTATTTCCATTAACCTTTAAAGTAATATGGGATTAATGTTGTGAACCGCTCCCCTGTCACTGTTACTCCAGTACTAGATGGCATATGACAGGCTGGATTGTACGTATCCATAATCGTAAAGTTACAAAAGCTGAACCTCTACCTTCATCTTTAGTTATTTTGACTATAATAATGATTATTGATGATAATAATGATTATTTTTAACTTTTAAATTAGTAACTAACGTATGTACAGCATTTCAGAAAGAAAAAAGAAAATATTTTCAGTTCATTTCGAATCTAACCTTAAACTAATTAGATTTTGACAGTTTGACGATTTGATAGTTTTCAGTTTAAGTGTGTCATTTTTATGGCGGTATGTTCGCAAAATATGCCCAGATTCATTTAAATGTTCAGGAAAAAAAAAGGTCACTGTTAAGAAAAAACATTGGACAAAAATTTTTATCTTCCTTTAGGCGTCTATGCAGACGAAGAAAAGTATCTAGCTTTGTTTATTTTAAATCTATACCCATACGTAGATACAGGGTGAAAAGGGAAAGTGGCCATTTTTGACAAACCACAATATTTTAGTTATCATAGGAGCCGAAATGTTCGAATTTTCGCGATAGAAATTTAGGCCTACTATGTTGCGTACGGCCAAACTTTGGTTTTTCTTTTGGGCGTCATGTTGAATTTCTACATTTTCAAAATCCTCTTTAAAAATACCATGCGTGACAAATTTGTGTTTCGTCAAGATAAATCGTCTGAAATTTTAGTCTCGCAAAGCGCGCCATTTCGGCCATCTTTGCCTCAGATTGCAGTGAACGTGAACACCGTATTATAACCATAATACACGCTGGGTCAGAAATCGGATTTGTTGCGCCGCTACGCCTCATCAAGTTTAAAAACTGAAATCGAGGAACAGTGCATACTGTTCTACGTCTTCCTCCATATCATTGCATGTATAACCCCTTAGAGTCTTTGTTTCAGACATTTTGAAAAAAATAAATAATTATGTATAAGATTATACCCACCTAAAAAATCATTTTTTTTTATATCACCTTTGAGAGTTCGTCCGTAATGCTTCCATGATTGCGGGCAAAAGCCAATTTGATGAAGATTGAAACAGACCATACCGGCTTAGGTTTCAGCTCTCCGTTGTACAATATGTGTGTCCCATTGATATAGCTCTAATCAAATAAAGTTATCCACTTCTTGTGTAGAATGGTTTATTTAGTTACATATAAACTAAGTACTGTTACTGGAACTTCGTTCTGTTGGTTATTTAATAAAATAAAATATAAAAAATATGTTACCTAATTACGTGATATTACGCGTGTTACATGTCGGATATTTGCGCCTCTATTTCAAAACTTTGGCATTGACTTTTGTTTTGTTTGAGCGGCACATACATCAACAATCTGCACCGCGAAATCAATGAAAATAAAAGAAAATGTTGGCACGCTGCTCCTAGAATACAACAACTTACGTACGTCGCGATTACACAAGTTGTCACTCATCCAACCAAGTATTTATAGGTTAACTATTTATAGCCAAATAGATCCCTACGGATAACGGATAACGTAAAAGAAAAGGGAACGTCATCTAGCGGCAAGCTTTTGGCTTTTATTGTTTTGATAATCTATCTAATTGAAGTCTGTGTGTAAATAGAACATCATCATCATCATCACACGTATTGTTTAAAATTGCAGTTTCGACAATAGGCCCCTTGAACTTATTTTTAGATTTACACGAATGAGGCCAATCAAATTAATACAGGGTGTTCGGAAATTGAGTTTGGAAACTTGGAGAAAAGATACAACTTGGTAAACACGATAAGTGTCCGAAATTTGAAGCCACGCACTGGAAATTTGACAGATATCTAGGGCTTAGCTCCGTAACGAAGCCTATTGAAACTGGGGGAGCTGGGGGGTCGGGAAATAAAGAAATGTGTTAAGTGTCCTAAATTTGCAGATATCAACTTCAAATTTCATGGAGAAGTAAAAGTCCGTGTTCACATTTGTACGGTAGAAATTGAGCGCAATCCAATTTTACCAAGTATTTTTTTTTAATGTTTGAAATGGTTTTTTTGGTCATTTTAGCTTCCAGAAAAATATGTTTTCCTCCATAATCGTTCATCCGATTGGCAAAATTGTTTAACCGGCAGACGCAGAAGATCCAGTGCAATATTATAAGCAACAATCTAAAAGACCTAGAAAATTGTTCTTTTTCAGGGTAAATTATTAGCCGCAAATCAAAAATCGTAAAAAATATGGCTAATTGATTCAAACGGTGTCATACGCCGCATCACGAGCTACAATTTTTGTATTTGCGGTTTTCCTCTATCACATATGCTGCTCAGGATATTTGAAAAAATCCATATTGAAATCGTTATTTCGGGGGCTGTCAAGACGCGATGACGTCAATGGGCGCACTACATGGTTTCAGGAAAAACTTATTTTCTCGAAAACCATTTACTATTTTCAAAAAATTCTTGAACCAGTCTTCTTCTACTTCGAACAGTGATTGTATCATATACAGGGTGTGTCGTTTATGGGCAAAAAATCTAAAATATCCTAAAAATTGCCGTTTTTGTGGATAAATTATTGGCGATAAATGAAAAACCGTTAATTTTATTTGAACAATATCGTAAACCGTGTCGCGAGAGAGTTTCAGGTTTCGTCAATTACACAAGGCGCGAGATATTTGAAAAAATATCATTAACTTTGAAGTTCGACGAGATGTGAAGGACATTTTATACAGGGTGCATGCGCAATTAAATTACACCGTTATTGCGAAAGTTCCATAGTGGTCCGCAGGAGCACGATAAAAAACAATGCGTCCCTTTACCACACGAAACCGCGAAGCTCTTTCCTTTTGTAATAAAAAGCTTCTTCGCGTTACCCGCTACGAACTTGCCCCGCCCAGTGACGATTTTTCGAAAGCAATCTTGTTGTGGAGTATGCAACCAGTTATTCGCTTTCGTATTTTTCCTCCGTTGTGGATTCAACAGTTCGCTTTGCGTCGAAGGTTAATTATTAATTTTGCTAACAATTTCGAAAACAATGTATTTTCCAAATTATTTATTTATTAATAAAACATGTTTATTTATATATCGCAGATTATAAATTTGAGCTTTGTTCCAGGTACGACGGAAAGGGTTTGTTTGATAACCGGCAACGTGGAAGCGATCATGAAAGTTTTGGAGTTTATAATGGACAAGATCAGGGAGAAACCTGACTTGACGAAACCGGTGATAGAGGCGGGAGACAGTAAGTTGACTCAGGAACGCGACAAGCAGGTAAGACGATGATTTTACTTACTTGATTTGTCGGACGGTTTTTGTTTACTTCTTTCTAACCTTTAACAGGTGAAGATTTTGGTTCCCAACAGTACGGCCGGCATGATAATCGGCAAGGCGGGAAACTACATCAAGCAGATCAAAGAAAGCAGCGGCTCGTACGTCCAGATTTCGCAAAAGGCCAAAGATGTTAGTCTCCAAGAGAGATGCATTACTGTGATAGGTAAGCGGAGGTTTTTACGAACAAACCTTAGATACCACCAGAGTTTTAGATATGTCGCAACCCGTGACTAAAGCACAGGCTAGTTGCAGTGTATTAATTAATAATTTTGATTTTAATTAATAATTTGATATTTTAGAGTCGGAAATTTACTGCCTTACACCAGTACAAATAATATTCACACATTAGTCCCTCTATGATTTGTTTTAGAAAATAATGTTAAATGCAAAAGTTATGGGTGAGACTAAATGAAACAATTTAACAGCCTAGAGATTATACCATTAATATATACTCCATATATACCAATGTAGATTTATTATGGTCTGTACTAAGTGTTTTTTTTTTATTTATAGCCATTTTTTCGTCAAAAATGTCCTGTGTTTATATTTCTGACACCGTTTCCGACTGTTGTAATTTTATAAATTGGTACGGTCATTTATCCTATACTTAACTTGAAGTTAGTTCGAATCGTTTACACGATTTATACAGGGTGAGGTATACACATTCTTACGAACAAAATACTAAAAATTATTGAAAGCTTGCGAAGATATCAGAACAGATTGATCACAATAGATAGATTGATTTAAAAAAAAAATAAGCCAGTTCCACAGTTTTTGTTATATTAAGCTAAACATATTTTCCTGTTTTTATATATTATTAGGTGTAATTTCCATGAATTGAAAACAAAAAGATGTATAGACTAATATTATGTCCATCATCATATTCTTATCTTTTTACTTATACATTACTTGAACAAACTATTTGTTAAGACACAAATTGCTACGAATTTTTGCAATTTTATATGCCACTTTGCTGACAAAACGTAAAATTGGAGTTGTAAAACGTGTTAACCTACTTCTTTTTTTTTCTTAAATTAGTTTTTGCAAATTTTAAAGATTCGATATAAAACAACAAGAAAAAATATTTTTTCTTAAACAGCGTATTTTAACTTATCTATTTTAGTTAGGTATTTTGAACAGTGAAGAAATGAAATTCCTTCTAAAGTACAAAAGAACACAGAAACACAGGCAAAATTTAAAAAAAAGATAAAAAAATTAGGACAATAAAATAAAAAGTTTGTTTCTGTTTTTGTCGGTATATCATATTCTATACGATGTTAGCACTTCGACTGGCTAACAAAAAAAAACTTAAAAAAAAAGCTAAGATAACGCATAAGCGCTCGCATTTTACTCTGTATTGTCTGTTCATAGATATAAGAAAGTGACCAATTGCTTTTGAATGGGATTATCCAAGGGTGGTCATTACCATACAATGCAACAAGATTATTACCTAAAGTTTTGGAATTTAAATTCAGGTAAAATTGTGATCCGTAATAGAAAATAATTTATCTGCCTGTGTTTAATATCCTTTTGCTTGTTATACTACTTAGTTTAAATTTATTAGTAATCATTCTTATTTCGTGTGTAATACAGCGTGTGCGAATTCCAACTTCCAAATTCCAACATCAACTGTATCGAAAATTGTGAACGATCCCATTTCAGCGAGGAAAAAAAGAAGCGATGCAGACATTTTCTCGAGTGTAGATGAAAGCGATCAAGATATAATACGGCGTAAAATTTACCAGTTATACGAGGAACAAAGCGTGTCTACATTAGATATCTTAATTAGGAGGCTTGAAAAAAATTGACAAAAGGCAAATTTTAATGAAATCTTTTATTGGGTTGTTCGGAAAGTCATTTCGTTTTTTTTGGGGAACATGAAAGACAGTTTTCGTATAATGAATAAATATTTTATTAAATTATATATTGGCCATTCTGGTCCAACACCTTTTGCCATCTTTCTGGCAGTAACATAATTCCCCTCTCATAAAAGTTTTGGTCCTTGCTGGCAAAAAACTGGTTCAGGTGGTTTTTGACATCTTCATTTGAGGTAAAGGTTTTGCCATCCAAAAAATTTTGCAGGGACCGGAACAAATAGTAGTCGGAAGGCGCCAGATCTGGAGAATATGGTGGATGTTGCAGTACGTTCCATTCAAGCTGTAAAAGTTTTTGGCGAGTGACCAAACTTGTGTGAGGTCTCGCATTATCCTGGTGGAACACTACACCCTTCCTGTTGATTAATTCGGGCCTCTTCTCTTTAAGTGAATCATTCAATTTGTCCAGTTGATGACAATAGACTTCTGAATTAATCGTTGTATTGTCCGGCAAAAGCACAAAAAAAAACGATTCCTTTGACATCCCATCAAACGGAGAGCATCACCTTTTTTTGGTGAATGTTGGCTTTTGACACGCTTTGAGCCGGTTCATCTTTTCTGCTCCATGACCTCTTGCGTTTAACATTGTTGTATACAACCCATTTTTCGTCCCCAGTAATAATCCGCTTCAAAAATGGATCATTTTCTTGACGTTTGAGGAGCGAATCACACACGTCAACGCGACGACACAAATTTCGCTCCGTAAGGACATGGGGCACCCACACATCGAGCTTCGAGGTTAAGCCCATGCCTTTCAAATGGCCATAAACAGTCGAATTCGACAAATTTAATCTCTCACCGATCTCTCGTGTGGTTATTCGCCGATTTGCATCAACTAATGCCTTTATCGCATCTTTGTCAGCTTCGACCGGCCTTCCAGACCGTGGTGCATCTTCGACATCAAAATTGCCGGATCGAAATTTTCACCGGTTCTGGCACTGGCGTACTGTTAACACGCCTTCTCCATACACATCCGTCAATTTTTTTCTCGCTTGGACAGCATTTTTACCTTTTCTGAAGTAAAAAAGTAAAATATGACGAAAATGCTGCTTATTGCTCTCCATATTTAAAAGGGCACCAACCAAAAACTACTGCGTAGAATTAATAGAACTTTTTCACACACAAGCCTTGCAATATCAGCTCTTAAGACATATAATGGTTATGCGGCTTAAGTGTGAAGTTGGTTTCGAAAAAACGTAATTAAGTCCTCTGACGGGAAAAAACGAAATGACTTTCCGAACAACCTTATAGAATTCGGAAATGGCGACTGGAATATCTAGAAAAAAAATAGGATTTACAGAGAACAACAAAGGCCAATTATTTACTTGGATGAAACCTGGTTCGACACTTATGATACCCCGGAAAAGGGTTGGGTTGACTCAACTGATAAGTGTAAAACAAACGCGCCATCAAAAAGAGGTAAAACAATAACTATTTTGTATGCTAGCTCTAAAGATGGTTGGATTCTAAATGGACTTTCTCTGTCTGCTGAAAATATTAAAGATTCTTCTCTGGATTACTATGAAAACACCATCCCTGATTTATTTGAAAGTTTAAAAACAAACTTGTTCCAAACATTGCTCCTAATAGCATCATTGTAATGGACAATGCAAGTTATCACAGTAGACTGTTGACTAAAACCCCTTCCTCATGTGACACAAAAGCAACAATTCAAAACTACATGTATAATAACGACATTTATTTTCACGAAGATTATACCAAAAAGCAATTAATTGAGGTTCTATAAAGCTTGAACCTACAAAAGGAATACGTCTGTGATAATTATGCAAAAAATCTAAGGCATACAGTTTTAAGAAAAAGCAGAGCAATCGTATATCCATATTGCAAATAATATAGAACAAATAATAATTAGAACAGGCGATGATAGCGATATTGATACTGATATATTATGTGAATAATTTTAATTATTTTAAGTAAATAATAAATAAATAAATATTGTTTAGTATCTTTCCTCACAAAACCTCAAATAGTTAAATTCTAAGCAAAGTACGGACCTGTTCGGCCACATTTCATTCTTACGGCTTGCCCGGGTCTTTCCTTAATTCGTATCAGTTAATCACTTTCTTATATCCATGAACAGACTTTACCTGCTTTTATATTGTTTGAGGGGGACGGAGCTAAATGAGAGGCATAATCACCGTCTCGGATGACTGATTGGTGACAGGTACATACCTGAGTCGTGGTTAAAATTGTTAGGTTGCCTATAGATTGCTATATGGTAAATCTGGTTTTGATGTTATAACGTCAAAACCAGATTTACCACTTGTTTGTTCATTTACCAATGTCATCACAGCACATTTGATAAAGACACACATATTGCCAACAAGTGTCCTAATGTGGGCAGCTTTAAATTCAACAAGTATTTATACGGGTGTTATCTTAAACCTCGAATATCTCAAAAAGTAAGAAAAATTTAAATATAGAATATAGGGTGTTCCATTCGAAACTTTTGAGGTTTTGTTAATTGAATTCGCCAAAACGGCACCACCTATTTGGGACACCCTGTAGAAGCTGATTCGCATCTGTCAAACTCATTGAGTAGTGTATCATCTCCTTAGTCTGTGGTTAAATTTTCGTTGCAATATCTGAATCAGTAGCGCCACAACACAATTTTATATGGGACAATCAAAATATATAAGAAAAAACACATAACCTCAATTTCTGCCTAAACTATGCAAAATTCGTTTAGGAAGTTTTTAAGAAAATGATCTTTATTTTAACCAAGGATTCCAAAAATATCGAACTATATAGGGTGTTCCATTTAAAATAACGAAGTTGATGTCGGTGGAGTACTTTTGGGACACCCTGTATCAACAAAGTGATAATATTTTAAATCCTCAGTCCAAGAAACTTTTGTACCAAACCTATTTGTTTAGCTTTGGGTCATCCGGTAATCGCTTGATGCCGCCAGGTCGGTAATTTTTCTTTGTGGGACGCGATAGAAAAAAAAAAAAGAAATCTTCGCCTTTATCGCAAACTGTAATTTTGAATTAATTATTATGTCATCAGCCGCGATCGTTAATTATATTTGCCCGTAAGAAAAACAATGATTCAACAACGAAGCGAGTCATCGTCGTATCCTCTTGTTCAAGGCTCTACCACCTTGGACCACGGCAATAAATCTAAAACCGTAAAAAGTGTTTTGCGGAAAGATTTTCTACGACAATTGAATTGAAATGTTTCTCATTGTTTGTTTCAAAAATTGCGCATAATGTGTTTAGTAAATTGCGTTGTAGCGCGTAATTATTATGATTCGACGGCCGGCAAC